GTGAGCTGTCCCAGAAGCAGAAAGACACACATGATATATACTCACTCATATAGACTTATAGGATAAACCTACTAAAATCTGTGCATCTAACGAAACTAATCAAGAGAGAAGACCCTGACTAAAATGCTCAATCCCCATCCTGAAATGCATAGAGGATAGACATCAGAAGAAGAAGAAAGCAGGAAACAACCTAGGAATCTGCCACAGAGGGCCTCTGAAAGACTCTGCCCTGCAGACCATCAAAGCAGATGCTGAGACTTTATGGCCAACTGTTGGGCAAAGTGCATGGAATTTTATGTCAGAAGGGGGAAATAGTAGGTTATGGAGAGGACAGGAACCCCACAAGGAGAGCAACAGAACCAGAAAATTTGAACACAGGGGTCTTCCCAGAGACCCATACTCCAACCAAGTACCAGGCATGGAGATAACCTAGAACTCCTGCGCAGATGTAATCCATGGCAGTTTAGTGTCTAAGTGGGTTACATAGTAATGGGAAGAGGAACTGACTCTGACACAATCTGATTGGCTTGCTCTTTGATCACCTCCCCCTGAAGGGAGAGCAGCCTTACCAGGCCACAGAAGATGACAATGCAGCCACTTCTGATGTGATCTGATAGACTAAGATCAGAAGGAAGGAGAGGAGGACCTCCCCTATGAGTGGACTTAGGGAGGGGCATGCGTGAAGAAGGGGGAGGGAGGGTGGAATCAGGAGAGGAGGAGGGAAGGGCTTATGGGGGGAAATTTATTTGGGAATAAAGTGTAATTAATAAAAAATTAAAAAATTAAAAAAAACCTCTCCTGACAGGGATGGATAAAACTGTAAATGTTTCCAATATTTTGAAACAATAATCTCAAATAAGTACTTAGTACTGTCAATCTCTAAAATGATTTTTATCAATTACACAATTTTCATGAAGAGCTTCATGAAACAATAATAAATATATTTTTAGATATGAAAATTATAGACAGGAACACTTAACATTTTGTTTAAATAAAATTAATGTTCCAGATCTCTGTTTTAATTTTAAAAACATTTCCTGGAATATAAGCAACAATTGAACATGACAGAAAACCAAGCTTTGGGGAATAGCTGACTTTCCCATCTCCTGTCTGTTCTGTACTAACCAGGTAGAGCCATTTACTTCTGAGAGAATAGGAAAGAAGGAGGCTTTGATGGGATATTGAAAAAAAAAAATTCTGAATTAAGTCTCCATTCCCTTGGCTGTATTCATGTGTTACTCGAACAAAATTTGTAATTGTGTCAGGAGGAGATCTGTTCTTCCTTACCAAGTTGGTCCTTTTCCCTCCTGTGTTGTGAGGGTCTTTTAACAAAGGGTGAGATTGTTTTAAGGTGTTCCACAGGAGAAGCAAGTAATTGACTCTCACTGTCTCCCTGGACAGAAACAGGTACTGCAGTGTTCAGGGCCTTGGCCTTGGAAACCACTAACCAGGGTGACACAGGCTCTAATGGAGAAGGCAAAGACATGAGAGGACACTAGGAGAGCAGAGAAATGCTCTTGCAGTTTCTCTCTCTCGTTCCAGGCTCAACTTCATACCCTCTCAAGCACTCCAGATCACATCTGAGTTCTCTTTCAGGTCTCTTACAACTACATAATTTTTTAAAACACTGTAGACCGTTTAAAATAATTCTGGTGTTTCAGGAACAAATTCTGTATTTAATATACTTGTTTGTGTCAAGGAAATTTTAAGTGCCTGGCTGACCTAGATGAGAAATAGCTTCAGCAGCCAGTGAGATATGCATACAGTGCTTTGGAGTTAATGCTAGGTTCCAGGTCTGAAGGCAAGCTCAAAATCAACACCACATTTTGCAAGCAGAACCTGGTCTTACCACCACCTCACCCTGATATTCTTAATTTTGTAGTAAGAAGCTGAGGAAGCAGTCACAGTCCTTGGATGATTGCCCACACAACAGGAGAGGGAGGCTGGGTTGTATGGGTCCGTGACTGCTGATTGGCACAGGAGACAGACCTAGGGCACCTGGCAGGGATGCTGCATGATTCCCTGAATGGTGCTACTGAAGAAGCACAGCTGTTCCCTGGCCCTTCAACCCAGCAGCTGGTTCATCTACAGTTTCTGCGGTCCCTTGGGTGGAAGGTGGTGCTAACGAGCCAGCTTGGGCCTCAGGCCAGCGTCTGGAGCCTATGTTAGACTCAGTGTCACTACACTGCACAGTTTTCTCTTTTTCTACCTTTGTTATCTGCCATGGCTTGGTACTCCTGGATGCACAACTCAACATAATACAGATGAGAGGCAAGCACCCAGCCTGTCTCTAGAACAGTTCTCAAGTCTAAAAGGCGGTAATGCTCAAGTTCATGGTCATGTGAAAAAGAGAAAAGCACATACCTCTCCAAGCCTCTAATGATTTTTCTGTTTGTTTTGGTATCTTATTTCCTTACCTATTTTGTATTAATGGAAGCCAGCGTATATCGGGGCATATCTCTTTTCACTTAGCTGTTTTTGACTTAGTTTCCATTCAAAGAAGACTCTAATCAGAAGCTTTCCAGAGACCAGCTACTGTGGGGCAGGGGTGGGGCACAGCTAAAGAGTCATGCAAGATCCCTCATAGCTCATCACCCTCAGTTAGGGGATATCCATATAACAAACCTTGCAATTCCAGCTTGGCCACTCTTAAGAAAGCATCACATCTCTCTGACAGAGACAGCAGTTGCTGCAAGCTCCCCAGAGCAGCACGGTAGGCACTTGCTGTGCTGCCCAGCTGTACCGACTTCCCCTTACTGAATGTCCATGAGAGAGGCTGCTTTGAGCTGCACACACCTGAGGTGGGGCACCCTGGATCTAAAAGAGCTGTGGAATTCCTATCATATCTGCTTGGCTTCCTTGCTTCTTTTCCAAGGGAACATACTTTTGGAGATGGAAAAAATGAACTAATTTGGAATCTTATTTGAGAGACTTTGCTCTTTCTGTTTGGGACCTAATTGGATTGTTCAGGATTACAGTGGAAGAGTTTAACCTGCCTCCCAGAGACAATTGCTGTCTCCCAACACCCCACCCTCTAAATTTCACCATAAAGAGGAATATGTGTAAAGGCTTATTCAAAGCTCACAATACAACTATCAATAGAGTTCAGGGTTCTCCCAGATGCTGCTATGCTGATGCTGTCCTCCAAAGGTCTGTAGCCCCTGACAAGTTCATATGTTGAATCCCAAGCCCCAAGGTGGTCATAGGCCAAAGGCTCAGGAGGCTCAGGCTTTTGACTAGGTCATAAGGGCTCTTTTATTATAAATAGGGTAAGTACACTTTAAACCAGGAGACTGTCCCTGTCATCCCTTCACATACACAGAGGAAAAGCAACACCCAGAGGCCAATTATGTGAGTACCTTCAACTTGTATTTCCCAGCTTCTAGTACAGGGAACAATAATTTTTTGTTTTTATAAATCACCCAGCCCCACGTACTTTGTTATGGCAGCAGAAGCCAAGTAAGACAGCCAATTCACAAGGATAATAAACAGATCAGGAGGAACAATCAACCTCATCACTTAATTTATCACACAAGCCTCAATTTTCCTTGCTTAGTATTTAGCCCAAGAGTTTATCTCTTCCACAGCCCCTGGCTCTCCCAGTTTCCCTGCTAAGTGGCTAGATGGATGTTCCATCCCACTTGTCTGTTTATGCTGAGTCTAAATCTCAGGAGCACAGTTGACCTTTCATAAATCACAAAGAACATCCTAAGCTGGAAAACAAAAACAAACAAACAAAAGAACAAACAAACAAGCCCTTTGGTTCAAATTGCTGAGTATTCAATATGACTATTACTATTATAGATGAATTCCTAATAAAATCATACTTGTGCTATAAAATGTCTTTTAGTTCTGGGTTTTCACCACTGTTTCTCTCAGTTGTCAGTCAGAATGCTCTGAGAGTGACAGTAGCTCCTTGATACATGACCATGAGGAAAGATTTGTGGTGTTCCCTTCTTGGATCATAATTAAAATTGGAGCATAACTATCAGTACCAATTAGACTCATTGGACTCGGTTTTCTTCCAAGAACATATTTCCTTTTGCAGTAAACACAAGCTGTTTCTGTCCAAGTATCTGATAACTACTGTGCTTTGTGACACAAACAAACTCCCAGTAAATAATCCAGAAAACACTCAGGGCACAGGGTGTATTTATTCAGACTAAGCTGCTCTGCCTGGTGCTTAGGAACAGCCTGGTGCTTTATTTCAACAGTAAATCTCCTGGCCATAGTTATCTCTGGGATGAATCTTCCACCCTAGAGGAAGACTCAGTTAAAGGACCTTTTGTTATGTAGAAATAGAAGTGATATTTGATTTTTAGCTGGAGACTATCAGGAGCCAGGTTTTTGTCTAAGTATGAAATTATCTTTATTAAGCAAAGAATATTTTTGTGTCTGATCAGAATAATGACTGGGAAGTGAGCCCAAATCAACTTTGTTAGTCTGTTAACACTGACCCCCACTCCCTTCTCTCCACCTAAGAGGAAGTCTGAATTCCAAGAAGTGGAAAGTGTTAAAGGCCTCCCACTGTGAGGAGGTGAAGAACTAGAAGGATACTTGGGCTTTCCCTGAGACTGAAAACTAAGGTCTTGTCATCTACTGACTTAGCCCTAGTCACCCTGTCAGGCTCTACAGACTCTGATGTTTCCAAGGAAAGCTAATCTGAATTGTTGGTGATGTTTATTTCTGAGCCTGTCATTCTCCCCACAATCTGGGTTAAAAAGAAAGAGAGAGAGATTGTTAAATTCCAATTAATACACAGAATTATCTTTTTTATCACAAGTTCTTTTTAAAATTTATTTTAATAAACTCTCTAAAGTCTAAGTAAGTATCCAAAGACAATAAAAAAAAAAAAACTTTAAAGGTGATTCAGTACCCATGTCAACTCTATATTCAGCTTTCATCCTATATAGGAATTATTTCATCATTTTGAGTTTATTGCTGAGATACAGCTGTATTTTGAAAATAGCCCTCAATCAGAGACAATGAAGGACACTTACTTTCTATTGGGACACCATTTGTTAACCAGCCAATTCTGGGTTTGGGGTTGCCATTTGCTCTGCAGACAAGGGTCCCATTCTCTCCTGGGGAGAGCACGAGGTTTTGAGGTGCCACAATCCAGTATGGAGCCGCTTTAATTGAGAGAAGAAAAACAAATTAAAAAAAATCTGACTCAAAAAAAGTATTATAGCAAAAGAATACATTGAACTGCCATAATAAATTATAAGGTTTTTGTAAAAACAACAACAACAACAAAAACCAAAAACAAAACCAAAAAAAAAAAAAACCCGTTAGTATCACTTTTAGAATAAAAATAAACAAAAATTATTTCAAATAATTTTTTAGACTTTATAAAGAGTAAAGAAGATCACCATGACTTTGAACTCTGAGCTAGGTAATTATAAAATAGAGAAACAATTTGAAAACTTCTTAGTTTTGAAAAGTTGCAAAGATATAATACAGTGTCCTATACCTCTCTTCTCAGATCTACCACCAAGATTTTATACAGCTAGATTGTGAATATACAAGATATATAAGAAATCTTGTAGTTATTCAACACAGCAAATGTCTGTTGCCCCATTCTGGGCACCACACGATATTCACTGGTTAAGCTTGTTAGCCAAAGAGTTTCTTGGCCTCTCCTTTTCTTTCATGATTTTGACACATTTAAAAAGTATCAAGGACCATTCATGGAGATGACCTAGAACCCCTGCATAGATGTAGCCCATGGCAGTTCAGGGTCCAAGTGGGTTCCATAGTAATGGGAACAGGGACTGTCTCTGACATGAACTGATTGGCCTGCTCTTTGATCACCTTCTCCTGAGAGAGGAGCAGCCTTACCAGGACACAGAGGAAGACAATTCAGCCACTCCCGATGAGACCTGATAGACTAGGATCAGAAGGAGAGGAAGACCTCCCCCATCAGTAGACTTGGGGAGGAATATGGGTGGAGAAGAGGGAGGGAGGATGGGATTAGGAGTGGAGGAGGGGGGGAGCTACAGGGAGGTACAAAGCAAATAAACTATAATTAATAAAAATAAAAAATAAAAAACAAAAGTATTGGTCAGCTCTGACAGAATGCCTTCATTGAGTCTGATGTTTTCTCACGATTAACTCAAGATTTGGGGTTGCATATGACTATCTCAGTGTTGACAAGTCTTTTCTTATTACACACTCCAACAATGAGACCACAATGACTTATTATAGTTATGTTCAGCTTAAATGTTAAGGCGGTATCTTCCAGGTATTCCCACTGCAAAATTACTACTATATTGTGTCCTGTGCTCTGTTCATTGTACAGCCCACTCTTAATGAGAATATAACCTCTATCTCTTCCAGGAAGAATTATTATTAGTGGACATACATTAAAAGTGTCCCAGCCACTAGACTTTTATGGGGAGAAGAACACTTAGAAGCTATGTAAATATCCTGCTTCTCTCTAAGTTGTTTTTACCTATCAATTTTAGAATTCCTCCCTGGATCACTGTGGGACTATCATGATGATTTTCTATTTTTACCATTCCTTCTGTGTTGGTATAATATTCTTATTATTATAATGTACCCTTGTTCATTCAAATGCTGATTTCTCTACCCCACTATCTGGTTTCAATCCTGACAATGCATTGGATGCTTATTCTAAGCATCACCTGTCTCAAGTTTGTGTAAACATGCCACCATTTGTTCTCTGTATTGTCAATAAAAGAACCAGCCCCAATGGAGCTGAGCAATAGAGAGAATAGGGTGGGACTTTCTGGTCCAGAGGGAAGGAGAAGGAAATGAGTAGGAGGAAGAGGAAGAAGAGAGAGGTAGGAGAGGTCTTGGAACCAGGAGGAAAGATGAGCCAGATCTAAGATGTGACTAAAAGCAAGTATAATGGATGAAATCTGAATGATAGGAAAGTATGTGGGCTTGGAGGTTTAGGATGGAGTAGCTATTGCCCAGCACTGTGCTCTAGGTTAATGAAATAAATCCTAATCTCTGTGTGGTGATTTGGATATACAGCTGCTTAACTAAAAGATAAACCAATAGGAAATATTAATAATGACAACACTTCTGCATTTACTAATTGCAATTCTGTGAGGAAGGTTTGAATGAGTGGCTTTTTAATCTGGCCTGGATGCAACTACAATAGAAAGGAGGAAAGATTCATGACACCATGAATGTAGATAAAAATGTAAACTTCTCATTACTGAAGAGCATGATCAAAGGCACATTAAACTGAAGTTTCACAGCCTTCACAAAAGCAAGGGGAATGCATTTGAGATCGAGGTATACCTTTAACTGTGACAGAAATGGTATGATGGATGGCTCCTAGTGTATTTTTTGCTATGCACTGATAATTTCCAGAGTCTGCTTCAGAAACATGAGTGATCTGCAAGGTTTTCTTAAAGTTCCGGTAAAATGTCCGGTTGACAGGAAGCGTTCCGTCTTCTTTGATCCAATAAATGATTGGAGTAGGTCTGGGAGGATAAATAAGTAATGATGTCACAAAGGAAGAGGAGTTCTCCTGTGACTGATTTGCAGAGTGAATTTTCATGGACATTTATAATCAATTCTTTACATAAGGACAATGATAAACATACAGACCTTTTAATTAACATCACATTTTTATAAGTAATGCTTAAAACCTGTACTTGAGGAAATTCCAATTTTCAAATAATTAGAACTATACTAATTTTTGTCATACTTAAAGTTTGAATTCAGTGATGCTACACTGCAAACATTCATTCTTTACTAAAGAGACCTAATCTTTTCTTCAAAGTTCTGATCAGTGAGGATGCTCTAAAGACATTTACTATGTCAACCAAGAGAATTGTTGTTAAATTAATCATATTGGATGTGTAATTTCCCACCAGCTAGAGTTAAAGATATGTAGATGAATGAACTCACATGCTCATCAGTGCCTCTGGACTTTTTAAACTGATGAAACACTGTTTTATGACACACTGATTGTGTGAATTAAATGATTAATGATTAGAATTATTTCCTCCACTTCAATATTAGTGAAACTTTAAAATACCATTATGCTAACTGATATATTCATATTATTTCAGTTCTCATTCAATTTCATTCTTTTAAATCAGTAAAACCCAAACAAACGACTTAATGATGAAAAGCCAGAATATTGTTTGGAGTTAAATCTTTCTCAAAAGCTCAGACCTTCCCTTAAATTCTCCTCTGACCTTGGTTTCCTAACTTTCTTGTACCTCAGCATATCCAGTTTTCTTTTAAAAAAATAGGTTAATAACAAAATATATTTTAAGCAAATGAATAAATTATAAAGAATTGAAGTTTAGTTTATCTTATTAAATCATGTTAAAGGTGAAAGGATATAGAAAACTTTAGGTTATGAAGATAAATTCAGTAGTATATTATTTATTTATAAAGTTAAACAAGAGTTTAACATTAAAGTCACAAAATTAATGATAAATTTTATTCCATTCCTGCTCATTTGATAGTACACGTTTAAGTGACATTATTAAGAATCAGAATGATTTTTAAAATCAATATTGAAGCTGTGTGCTCGGTCGAAGAGGACAGTCTTCCCGGAATAGAGGAGGGCCAGTCTTCAGTCAAGGGCATACGAGTAGCTGTGATCCCCTGCTAGAACCTCTAACAGGCTCAAGGTCCATTTTTCTTAATGAGAAGAATGATTGGCTTGTATAATGTCTTTAGGAGGTTTACACAAGGTAAAATTTAAAAACTGTTCAACACAAACATTATATATCTATATATTATATGTATACATATGTACACATATACATATATATTACATATGTACACACACACACAAACACATATATATATACTAAACCACATAACACACACATATACTAAGCCATGTGTGAGTGGAAGATAGCAAAGAAGGGCTGAGCCAGATCCTCAGGGCATCATTATATTTGTTGTCAGAGATGCAAAAGAGATTTAATGACAGTTTATAACATTGGCTTTGGTTTGTTTGGATGGACAAAATGATAGCATGTAAACTTGATGAAGTGATTTCTAAAATTATAACGTGTAAACACACAAAGCTGCAAAAGATATGAGATCAGTTTTGAAATACTAGTCACATGTGGAATCTGACAACATGTGATTTTTTATAGTTAGACTGACTCCTGTTTCAGATGAGATGAGAGGAATGGGGACAGACAGTGTCATGGTTTATACTGAGCAAAGCCATCAGTTGTTATGGAAAACTCCTACTCTTAGAGATTTCTGAATGTTTTAATGCTGAGCCTAACAGTTCCTGCTTTGCAAAAAGTACAGTCCCAACCATTGTTTCTTGAGATTTCAACATTTTAAAAGTTTTTTTTTTTTTAGGATTCATAATTGTCTTTATGATATTCATGTTTATTATACGTCTCTAAGGGATAAGAAGAAAATTGTGAAAAATTATTAGAGGTCTCCTAAAGTTATATGCATACATATATTTTTGAGTAATGTTCAGAGACTTATATTTCCCAAAATAAATATGTATATATTTAAAAAAACACAAAAAAGTTTTTTAATTTCTAACTTACAGCCATATTCACACACACACACACACACACACACACACACACACACACACACACAAACATTGAACGTTCCTAATCTGAAAACATGAAATATGCTAAAATATGAATTTGTTAAATGTCATATTGGTGTTTGACTATAAACAAAATGATAAAAATTAGAAGTTGGAAAAATTCTGTTAGGAAAGATTAATTTTTTAATTAATTTTTTAATTTTTTATATTAATTACAGTTTATTCATTTTGTATCCAGCTGTAGCCCCCCTCCTTCATTTCCTCCCCATCCCCCTCTCCTTCCCTTATCTCCTCTCATGCCCCTCTCCAAGTCCACTGATAGGGGAGGTCCTCCTCTCCTTCCATCTGACCCTACCTTATCAGGTCTCATCAGGACTGGCTGCATTGTCATCCTCTATGGCCTGGCAAGGATGCTCCCCCATAAGGGGGAGGTAGTCAAAGAACTAGCCACTGAGTTCATGTCGGAGACAGTTCCTGTTCCCCTTACTAGGGATTCCACTTGGATACTGAGCTGCCATGGGCATTTTTTTTTTGTCATATCTTTAAGAGTTTTGTTAGTTTTTAAGCTTAAGAACCATCATGTTGAGTGTGATTTCCTGTGTTGGCCAGCAGAGGCTTCCATGTGCTTCCTGAAGTAGTTATTCCTGGATTAAAAAAAGATTATTATATATGATCATTGGATTATTTTATATGATCATTGGATCACAAATCACAAACCATGAAGGAAATATGTTCCTGGTATCCCATTCATGGTTGCAGTATCTGTGCTCTTGTAAAGAAACTCATGCCAGGCACTACCGAAGGATGATTTAGAGACCTGCCTGTTGTGTGGGCCTAATTTCACAGTTGCCTCCCTGAAATGTCTGCCAAAGGCACATGGGCTCTGAGATATACACAGATGAGCACCTTGGCTTTAGAGTTTGTCCACAGGAAAGAACAGAAGGGACAATGCCACAATTCTGAGGCCCTGAGATGTACTGTGCACTTTTGATGACAGACAGTGAGAGAGGGCGACATGTCAGGTGCTCGTGTGGCAGACCTGGAGGGTAATGAATCCCCTGTTATTACACCTTCAGATGCCCCTCCCAGGAGCACTAGACACATGATCAAGGGTAAATAGCCATTTTTTAAGCCACCAAATTCTGAGGTTGTTCCTTAAAAAGCAGCAAATTTCTACCCCCTTATTATATACACTGTATTGATCAATGTTCATAAGGTGATTACAGATAATGTGCTGCAATATGAACATTATTACATCAAAATAGTTTAGCAATAACATGGAATTCAAAGTTTACTCAGGCAGTGTTTTTTAATTTTGGTCAAATTAAAAGGATAAAACAATGGCTCTTCCTGGGATATTAATGCTAAACAATCTTTTATATGTTGATAAGTAGTAATGGGAACAGGGATTGTCTCTGACATGAACTCAGTGGCTGGCTCTTTGATCACCTTTCCCTGATGGGGGAGCAGCTTTATCAGGTCACAGAGGAAGACAATGCAGCCAGTCCTGATAAAACCTGATAATCTAGGGTCAGAGGGAAGGAGAGGAGGACCTCCCCTATCAGTGGACTTGGAGAGGGGCATGAGAGGAGATGGGGGAGGGAGGGTAGGATTAGGAGGGGATGAGGAAGGGGGCTACAGCTGGGATACAAAGTGAATCAACTGTAATTAATAAAAAAATGAATTAAAAAAATAAAGTACACTAAATGTTAAAAAAAAGACGTAAACATTAGGACAGAACGTGTTAACTCACAGGCCTTCTGCAATGCACTCCAGTGAAAGTGTGTTTCCTCTTAATTCCTCTTTGACGCTTTCATTGCCCTCTGGAGTTAGAAATGTTGGTGGCCTCTCTTTACTAGATTTAGCTGCAAACAAGAAAATCAATATACATTAAAATTATGAACATGTGTTTCTAGGAACACAGTCACTATAAAAAACTGCCTAACATTCTACTCTCAAATCTATTTAATGTTTATTTTGAAATTTGTTAAATTATGCATACACATTCTCTTTTTACAATTATTCAGTGTGCCAGGAAAAGAAACAATTTTGATTGCATGAACAAACCAGTGACAAGGACTCCTTTTGTATATGTCTTTAATTGGGTTAGGTTTTTATCAATTTTCTGTGGAATGGTAAATTTTCAAAATGTCAACACAGAAAGCCAGCTCATCAAACTGCTAAGACTGGTGCTCAGGTCAAAGAAAAAAGTGTGACTTTTGAAAGATGTTAGATTTCTTTTACAGCAGCAAATCATTATGGACAATGTATTTTGATCTATTCTGGAACTAATATTATAGCCAATTCCACTGACTTATATCTCAAGATTCCTACACTGCAAGATTTGTGAAAAATAAAATGAAACTAGAGAATTACTAACAGAGATCCATCAAATTATATTGCTATTAATGGAGATTAATAGTAAAGAGGCTGAATGTGACTTCACAGCACAGTGTTTGCTGCTAGCAAAGCTAAACACGTGGAAATCATTTTATTCAATGACAAAATAAAGAGGGTCTAAATCAGAGAGCTTAGAAATATTTACAAAAACACCTGTTTAATGGCCTTTTGAAAAACGTGATCTTATCTACTGAAGGCCTTGGGAAATTTTCAAGTGGAAATATCAGAAGATGCTATAGCTTTTCATTGTTTCAACCACAAATGATCTACTTGATGCTTCTAAAACCATATAAAAAGATAATATGTAAATTTCTCATTTCTCAGGAGAAAAATCTGAGTACCAAAAAGGCATTGCTGATGAAAAATTAGTTTTCTTATGGATTTTGGAGCTTGTTGGGGTACCTTACTCCTCTAAAATCACCCTGAGAAGGGTCTTGAGGCCCATATTTGGGGGGACTATGTTAACTAAATAAAGGTGAGAGTTATATCCTGTCATATTCTGTAATGTTCATATGTCAAAAGTAAAATTTAATGTAGAAGATACCATTTATGTGGAACTAAGAAGCCCTCATATCCACAGCTCCCCCCCTTTTTAGTGATAGATTATGCTTGGCACCCACATTTTCCTTAAGGAAATCAAATTCATTTTGATTGAAAACAAAAGCTGAATTATCTGTTTTTAAAAGTTTATTCCCACAGAAGACAGTGACTAGGTTTCTAACAAAGCTAAGAGCAATACAGTTGCCAGTTAGACTGAATAACGTCATGTAAAACTTAAGGAAGGTTAGACGATTACTATGGAATGTACTCTATGTTAGTTACTATGGGTTCTCAGTGAGTCAGTATTCTAGGGATTAATATGACCAGTCAGTTCATATGTAGGTCATGCAAAAGTTTATAGACAGCACAAAATATGGAAACTACAGTTCTGAACAAATATGACAGATTTTTCTAAAGCATATGAAATGGTTTACATGAAATTTTATAACAAGTTTAATTATACATAAATCATAGAAAATGTTTTAGTGACATGCTTGGAAGTTTATAGCTGTTTCTTAAGAAACATACAATGATACAGTGATATTAAACATGTAACTAGAAATTTCATAAAGAAACAAGGTTAAATAGCCATGGAGGTGACATTACTGAACTAAAGTCTACAATGAAGGAGAGAATATCAGTTACAACCACTGTAACTCACCACCATAAAACTCAGTGTCACTCAAATTAGCAGCTATAGTGTCATTCAATTCATCCACTGAAATAAACAGAATATCATGAAGAGGGCACAAAAGAGGGGAGAAGAGTCAAAAACAAAAGAGGGCAACAAAACAAATACATACAGTTATGGTAAGTGCCATTTCTTCCAGGTAAATATAGTGCTTGACATCAACCTGGCTGAGTCATTAATTCACTCAGCCACCCCCAACTACAACTTAAACTACAGGATAAATGCCAATAAAAGGCATTGTGGGCATAATGCATATGCCAATGCTCAGAACACCAGAGGGTCAGGAGGTTGCCAGGGAAAGAGGAATGTCAACTAGTGAAAATATTAAATACAATATTTAGGGTTTACATGCTTTTTCTAGCACATTAGCTAATGTTTTAGTGGTCCCTTGCAGGAATTTTCCTGATCACTGAATCAGTTTACCTTTGAGTCAGAACTGTATTTAATGGTTACTAATATGATTCACATAATGTAAAAACCAATAAAAGAGACCAAGGAGGCTGTATTCTTACCTGAAATCACCTTCAAAGAAATAGGTTGCTTTTGTTGTATGGTTTGAGTATGATTAAATCTGGCATAGCAGATATAGTCTTCACGGGTGTCCTCTGGGAGGACATTGGAGAAATAAAGGTCTCCATTCAGGCCTTGGGAAACCCGCTCGCTCTGTGGAAGTCTTTGAAAAGCTGGAGGAAGACAGAGAAATGCTTAGATCATTCCATCATACAGTCATAATTTTCCACATCATCAGGCCAACTTTCTATTACTACCTCTGTGAACTTCACCTGAAAAAAATATAGCCCTTTCAGTAAAAGAAAACGTTTGGGTTTTGTTGTTTTATTTTGTTTTAAGAAAGTGAGACACACTGACAATCCACTGGACCTGTCTAATTCTAATTTCTTGGGAGCTTGGATCAGAAATGGGACTAGAGCCATGAAGTGAAATGTTTCATTAAGAAAGTAGAAACAAACAAAAATGTTCTGTAACTGATTTGCATATTTCTTTGTATCTGAATTGGTCTCTGACTGTATACTTCTTAGAAAACACATGAGTTACATGTCATCAAAAATTAGGCACTAAACAAGGACACAAGTACAACAGACCCCCAGCCCTGTGTGAGCCTATAATCTAATTAATGAATCCAACAGCAAATACCTGATTAATCATAACAAGCAATGGTGCCACTATTTGATGCCACTAACTGCTACTGGGAAGACAGGGCTAGCTTCCCTCACCTCATGTACAGCTCATCTTGTGACACAGCCCATCTTTTATTCATTATATGTATGCATAATGGCATAATGGCCATTTCATTGTGCTAAAATTTAAGCTGCAGGAGTGAGGACACACTTTTTGTTTAATACTCAAACTATGAATAAGTGCCCAACCTTTGGCCAGGGCTCCTTAAACACTCTTGGAAGGGCCAAATATCAGCCACCATAACACTGCCTTTTCAGTTTCCAACATAACTGTCCTCCTTCAGGACCAGGTAAGGAGGCATGGAGAGAGGATTTCCTACATGGTTGAGGGATGGAGGGAGGTGAGAGCCACTGATCAGTGTATAAGGTTACACTTGACCATCAAAAAGCTCCCTGACACTCCTGACTCGGTTCCCAGAGCCTAAACTGATTTCCTCAGCTCCCAAATAAGTGGGACTTGGAAAAGTTGCACATCCCTGCAATGTCAGCCTGGTTTTTCTTCAGCCTGAGTCAAGAATATGTCCTTCTTAGAGCAGGTACCTGACCTAATGTTTCACAAAACGCAAACTTATAGTTCAAACCCTTGGGGTCAGAGTTAAAAGCACACCCCTGGTGGATTGTGATACTTACGTTTCCATCAAAGAGGCTTAAAACTTTATAGTCTTAGGACATTAATCCTCTTGGATAGGAACGGTTTTAAAATATTGAGGAAAAGAATGTACACTGAGAGCCAGGCAAGGTGTTACAGGCCTGAAATCCAAGTTATCCAGAAGGCTGAGGGGGAAAGGACTAAAATCAAGGCAAGTCCATGTTGTCTGTCAAGTTCAACATCATCCTGGGTAACATAGGGAGACCCTGTCTCTAAAACATACATTTATTTAATAAATCCAAGGCACCAAAGAGATGTATTTCTTGTCTTTTGTTTCTCCTCCTGAATTGCATGACTCATGGATGCGAGTATCTCAAATGTCAGACAACAGGGTGTCAATAGTGAGGCATGGGTTTGCCCTTTGAATTTGTTTTGTGTTACACTTGAAAAAAGATATGCAGCTAGGAATATTTTTGTGATACATTAAAGCAAGAGTGATACAGGGGTTCAGGTTTTTTTTCCCTCATATTTCAGATAGAAGCCCATTTGAAAAGTGATGGTTTACTGCCATTTAAAAATGTATGAAATCTGCTTAGATCCCCTGTTGGGTGGAGCCTTTCAGAGGACCTTCTATAGTAGGCTCCCATCCTGTTCCCTCTCTTCCACTGCTTCTGGTGTCTATTCTGTTTGCCCTTCTGAATGAGATTTAAACATCCTTCCTGGGGTCCTCCTTAGTGTTTAGCTTCTTTAGGTCTGTAGCTTTTAGTTTGCCTATCCTATATTATTTGGCTAATGTATACCATGCATGTCTTTCTGTTTCTGGGTTGCCTCACTCAGGATGATCTTTTCTAGTTCCATCCATTTGCCTGCAGATTTCATGATTTCCTTGTTTTTAATAGCTGAGTAGTATTCATTGTGTAAATGTGCCATAATTTCTGTATCCATTCGTCTGTCGAGGGACACCTAGGTTGTTTCCAGATTCTGGCTATTACAAATAAAGCTGCTATGAACATAGTTGAGCAAATGTCCTTTATTGAATGGTGGGACATCTTTTGGGTATGCCCAGGAGTGATATAGCTGGATCTTGAGGTAGTACTATTCCCAATTTTCTGAGAAAGTGCCAGATTGATTTCCAAAGTGGTTGTACAGTTTACAGGAGGAGGGTTTCCCTTTCTCCACATCCTCTCCAGTATGTGTTGTCACTTGAGATTTTGATCTTAGCCATTCTGCTCAGTATAAGATGGCAGAGTGCAGGGATTTTTATGGAAGAAGTGGGGGAGTGGGGCAGATAGAAGAACATGGAGGAGACAGGAACACTATTTCCGAGCCTAGAAAGTCTGCAGAGACTGATACACCACCAAGGACTATGTATGGAGAGGACCCCTGGCTCAGATGTAGCTGATTGGCAGCTTAGTTTCCATGTAGGTTCCTGAGAAAGGGGAGCAGGGGATGCCTCTGTTATGAACTCCATTGCCTGTTTTTTGATCACTTGCCCCTGGCAATGTGGCCTTACCAGGACACAAAGGAAGAGGATCCAGGCAGTCCTGATGAGACTTGATAACCTATGGGCAGATGGCAGAGGAAGAGAACTCCCCTTTTCAGTGGACTAGGGGAAAGGGACTAGAGGGAGGGAGGATGGGACTGGGAGAAGTTGAGGGTGGGGGTTTCAACTGGGATATATAATGAATAAATTGTAAAATAAATAAAAAATTAACAATAAAAATGTATGAAATCATACATATTGCCAACTGTGCTATGATGAAAGCATTAGTTATGTATTCAGATAATTTGGAGTGTTTACCTGTGACATATTTTTATTAAGAAGATAAGAAATAATCACCTCTGGAGTTGCATGACTCATGGATGCGAGTATCTCAAAGGTAAGAACAGGATGGCAATAGGTGGTATGAGTTTGCCCTTTGAATTTCTTTTTTTTAATTCTTTATTAATTACACTTTACTCACTTTGTATCCCCCTGTGGTTCCCTCCCTCCTCCCATCCCAATCCCTCCCTTCCTCCACCCTCTGCATGCATGCCCCTCCCCAAGTCCTCTGATAGGAAAGGTCTTCTTTTCCTTCTGATCCTAGTCAATTAGGTCTCATCAGGAGTGGCTGCAGTGTCTTCTTCTGTGGCCTGGTAATGCTGCTTCCCCCTCAGGGGGAGCTAATTAAAGAGCAGGCCAATCAGTTCATGTCTGAGACAGTCCCTGTTCCTATCACAATGGAACCTACTTGGATACTGAACTGCCATGGGCTACATCTATGCAGGGGTCTTAGGTTATCTCCATGCATGGTCCTTGGTTGGAGTATCAGTCTCAGTAAAGACCCCTGTGCTCAGATTTTTTGGTTCTGTTGCTCTCCTTGTGGAGTTCCTGTCCTCTCCAGATCTTACTGTTTCCCACTTCTTTCCTAAGATTCCCTGCACTCTGCCCAAAGGTTGCCCATAAGTCTCAGCATCTGCATTAATAGTCTGCAGGGCAGAGCCTTTCAGAGGTCCTCTGTGTCAGGCTCCTGACTTGTTCCCTCTTTTCTCCTTCTGATGTCCATCCTCTTTCTGGATAGGGATTGAACATTTTAGCAAGAGTCCTCCCTCTTGATTAGTTTCTTTAGGTGTACAGATTTTAGAAGGTTTATCCTATATTATATGTCTATATGAGTGAGTATATACCCTGTGTGTCTTTCTGCTTCTGGGATAGCTCCCTCAGGATGATCTTTTCCAGATCCCACTATTTACCTGCAAATTTCACGATGTTTCTTTGTATTACACTTGAAGAAGAGATATACAGAATGATTTGGTGCATCTAATTTTGATGGTGATATATGCAGAGTGTTACTTCAAAGTTATAAATCACTCCTTTATATTGTATTTGTTGCTTCTCCCCTCAAAATTCATAGCAGGTACCACATAAATAAAGAAAACATATATTTGCACATTTATTTGTTTACAGATTTGTTTTTTACTTCTTGCAACACTTTCTGTGAGAGGTTTTATGAGTCAGCAATGAACATTAAGTGTTAGAGTCCAATTTTCTCTCCAGAGGGTTTTGCAGCCTGTGATTGCAGAGGAAGTCAGTTCTCTAAGAATAGGTTATTTTGTGCAAATCTTTTGCATGCATTCCATCTATAGGTAAGTCTCTTTCAAGGTCACAGTAGAATTCTTGTTGCTAGATTCAACAGTCATTTCCCAGGCTTCATGTTATCTATTTGCTGTACTCAACAATCATCACTATTTTCATAACCTGTGTTCTCCAACTGGTCTATGGAACATCATTTTCTCTCTTTATGGTCTCTTATCACAGTGACTCCTTTTCCTTCGCTTTCTTGTGTTTTTCCTAAATTCTTGCAAGGCTCTTGGTCTCAGACCTTAGGTTCTGTCATTCAACTTCAGTACCCAATCTATAAATTATCTCATCCAACCCATGTGTTTCTTTTTCTTTTCTTTTTTAATGGCTTTATGCACTAAGCATTCATACCTGGTTGATAGCAGTCCTGACTAATCCTCCGCCTCACACCTCTGACTTTTGCTGGTGTCATCTGGTGTCTTGGACCTTTCACATTTTAAATTCTGGTTCCTTAGTTGCTAAGCCAAGCTGTGTGCCACCTCCAAGATAACATGCTAACATAATAGCTTTTTTTGGAGGGGGGGCAGTTAGAACAATAAATGCTTCCATCAAGTAAAAGGTCAAAAGTAGACAAAATTTGAAATTTCCAGCAAGTAGTTTCATTTCTCCTTGTCCCAGTTTTGGTCCTAGGAAGATAAAGAGGATGCCTGGACATGCCTCATATGCTTGTGAGAAACTAATGGGACAGTCGACATGATATTCTTAGTAAAGGGATTGATACTCAGTAAAGGCTCAATAAATATTAGCTGTTTTTGGAGATTAAAAAAAAAAAGAAAGAAAGAACTGAAGCTGGGTGCAGTGGCCCATGCCTTTAATCCCAGCACTCAGGGAGTCAAAGGCAGGCGATCTCTGTGAGTTTGAGATGAGCCTGGTCCACACAGCGAGTCTAGGACAGCCAAGGCCACACAGAGAAACCCTGTCTCAAAAAAACGAAACAAAAACAAAAAAATAAATAAAACAAAACAAAAAACCAAAACAAAAACAACAAAAACCAAATGAAACAAAATAAAACAAAAAACATGAAGATATGAAATAATCAAAGCAACTTGATTTCCTCCACTATTAACTTTGATGTTTCAGAAGAGGGTACTTCTATTTTTAAATCAATTTTTGTATTCACCTTTGATTTTTCTTCTCATGGTCCTCCCTTCTTCCCCCCCACCCCCCACTCCATGGAGACTCTATCCTTAGAATATATTTAGCGTCTGACTACTTGTTGTGGATGTTTTGGTTTATGATATGTAAACATGTTTTTGTTATAATCCTAAGTGGGGATTTTAGTTTGTCCACACCTATTAATTGTATCATGCAGAGCCTGGTCTTTGCCAGATGGAATTAGTTGAATTCTGAGGACTTTGAGGGGCATAAATATGACAGCCCAGAGGAAAAAGGGTGGTGGCTTGAGGAGATGGAGGAAGTTTGCTTGCTGCTCTTGCTGGCTTGCTGGTTTGCTGATTACCTGGACTTCTGGATTTCCTGACAACAGATATTGGTATTGCCCTCAAAAGAATCCTACGATCCTACCCAGAAAGAAGAAGTAAAGATGTCTATGTCCTCTTTCCCTTACAATCTTCTTTTTCCCTCACCTGGGGTTAGGGGCTTGGAAAGGAGGTATAAAATTTTTTTAAATTAAATTTTTATTTTTTTACATTAATTACATTTTATTCACTTTGCATCCCAGCTGTAGCCCCCTCCCTCATTCCCTCACAATCCCATCCCCTCCCTCATCTCCTCCCATGCCCCTCTCCAAGTCTACTGATAGGGGAGGTCCTCCTCCCCTTCCATCCCACCCTAACTTATCAGGTCTCATCAAAACTGGCTGCATTGTCTTCCTCTGTGTCCTGGCAAGGCTGCTCCTCCCTCTGGGGAGGGGGGGTGATCAAAGAGCCAGCCACTGAGTTCATGTCAGAGACAGTCCCTCTTCCTCTTTCTAGGGAACCCACCTGGATATTGAGCTGTCATGGGCTACATCTGAGCAGGGGTTCTAGGTTATGTCCATGAATGTACCTTGGTTGGAGTATCCGTCTCA